CCCCTTTCTGCTGGAGATCTAGGATTCTTTGAACCTCTGGTGTTCTGACTCCAAAGCCAGCCCTTCTGCCACAGCCCTGCTAAGTCTCTGCTAACACACTTAATCATTCAGACCATTCCTTCTTTCTAATGTCCTCAAACTGACCTGGGGAAAAAAAATGCAAACTACACAGCTTTCACTTTTCAGCCCTGCCTTTGATTTCTTATTGGACTAAAATATGCACTTCAATTCACTTGACTTTGAAAACAAGCTATTTGGTTTGTTTGAAATAAGAGCCTTGAGCAGAGTATCATGAAGGACTTGCTCAACTGTATATTGCTTTACAATTTACAAAATAATTTTCTCACAATAACCTTTTCAGGGAGGTAGTCAAGTGTTATCACTACTGCCAATTTTACAAATGAGGAAACTCAGTATCAGCAAGTGTTTAATGATGTGCCCAAGCTAACGAGTGGCTTAACTGAGTCTCCAAATCAGATGTCCAAACTCCAAGGTCAGTACTCTTACCACTACTCCATGCTGATTTAAATTCCTTTGATACATTTTGGGGTGGTTGGTTTTTTTTTAAGTCCAAAGCTTTACATAGCATATCCATAACTGAGAAGCCTTCCTACATTTATAGTTTGTAACATGTATTATTAGACTTTACAAAAAGTATAATGGCTAAAGCAATAGACTTGGAGTGAGGAAGATATATTCAACTATTGCTTGAGTCACCTAGGTGGAAATTCTGTTTCAGATGCTTAACTAGCTCTACGAATAGGGACAAGTCTCTTGAGCTTTCTGAGCCCCAGACATCTCTCCAGGATTATAATATCAGGATGGGTTTATATCATCCTGGTTGAAGGAGTTCCCACACCCACAGTTTCTATATGTTTATGACCAGTTATCTTGCAAAACTTTTTTGAGGTATTCAATGATTATTCAATTCTTAGAGATAGGGCAGCTGAGGAAGTGAAAGAGTCTGTGATCCATCCTGGCTTACTCAGTAAATGGACACTTATAATGACTTCTGCATTAGCCAAAATAAGTTTTAGAACCCCTGCTTCTTCCTTACATAAGAAGCTGCCTTACAGTAAATAAATTAGTCTTTCATTTAACTACTTGCTTGAATAACATGAATCATGGCTCTTCTAAGGCCCTGGGAAAGCATTTCACTATATATTATCTGACAGCTCTGGAAGAGTTAATTTTCTTGTGGAGGGAGCAACAAGTGAACATTTCGTTCACAGGGAATGGTTCCTTCACCTTAAGATCAGGCTTGCTGTGCTAGAAAGAGAACTATTTTTATTCTTCCTACAGAAAGAAAAGTCACTCCTACCCCTTACATAGAGAACAGTTCAATCACATGGCGAGGACATTGCTTTTTCCTCCCCACCAAGGTATTATTGGTTTCCTTGCACCTTGCCCGTAATGCAGATAAGCCTAATTAAAGATGTTTAGGTGGTGGGCTATTTAAGAAGATGCTTACAAATTACCTTGCACTTCAACAAATTCAGAATTTACTCTGCAAAGTCAGATTATTGCTGAAACATTAAATCAAACTTGATGTGAGGCTATAATTTAATTACTCAGAGCCAGGATTCTGCAATGCTCAATTTCTTTGGGGCATTATTTTTAGGGTAAGGAATCTTACCTTAACAATAAATTCTTCCTGGGCCAGTTCCATTCAACATAATAATGTCTATTCCCTGCTCTGTGGAAATGGCTATGGTTGTACTAGATTAGGCTAGGACAAAATGTAAGCAGGACAGCAGCTTCAATTTAGACCTGTAAGGGTCTTGGGAAGTCAACAAGTCTAATTTTCTCACATTACTAATGTGAAAACAGAGGCTGAGAGAAGTTAAGGCTCGCACAGCTAATAAGTAAAGGCAGGATTCAAACTCCATGTCTAGCTCTCTATCTACTATACCACCCTGATTCTGTAAAGTAAGGACAAATGCCATGCAGTTCATACTATAGTTCCAAGCTTGGATCACTTCCCCTCTTTCAACCTGACTTCCCTCCCTCTCCCATCTCCTACACATCCCTGGCCCCCCAAACCTAAGCCATCCTGTACAGCTTCCATACATTCAAGCAACTATAAGTAGGCAAGCAAGGATATTCCTTTAAAGGTGTCAAGCCTGCGATATTCTATACTTTCCCAGTTCTGATGTTTTTATGCCAATTAAATCAGGTTAAAATGATCAAAGAGCAACCTGGAAGGGGATAATAAGTCTCCATAGGAAGAAAAGAAACCAGCATTTATTAAGTACCTACTATGTGCTAGGCAGTGTGCTAATCATTTTATAGATCTTTCATTTAATACTCACAAAACCCCTGAAATGTAGGGACTGTTACTTTCCACATTTTACAGCTAAGGAAACTGAGGCAGACAGAGGTTAAGTGACTTGCCCAGGTTCACACAGCTACTAAGTGTCTGTGGCCAGCTTTAAAAGTAGATCTTCATTACTCCAGGCCCAGTGCTGTATTCATTGTGCTACCTACCTAACTATGGCAGCCTTTGGGTTATGTAAGGAAAAGTAGTAGATCAGTTTCTATCCTTAGTATTAGTGATAGAGATGGAAGAAGTTGAAGATGAGGGGAGAAGGGAAGAGGTTGGGATTAACTGTATGAATGTGAGCTTCAGGTCTTCTTTGGTACTTGGTGGTGGAACTACTCCCTTTTCTCTATCAACTGCCTTCATGAATCACCATCTAAATGCCAAAATTCATATTCATAAATCAAGGAAGCCCTAGGTATGGCTCAGATGGTTGCAACTGACGGTGTAAGTTTGGATGTTTACAATAGAATCAACAAACAGAAATCAGTGACCAAATTGGGAGACAACTACTCATATGATTGCATCTGGAAGGGACTTACAAGACTGTGGGAGATAGTACCCAAGCAGCCTCAGCATTACAGAGAAGGGAGATGATGGACGGATAGATTTCTTTTCCCATGGAGATGTTTATCCTTCAGGTAATGCAAAATCTTTTGTGTGTTTTTCTTAGAGACCCAGAAATTTATAGGACCACAGAATTTACAGCTGGAAGGTAACAGAGACCATCTAGTTCAATCTTATCATTTTTTAAATGTGGAAAATAATGGATTTGCCTAAAGCCACATAGCTCATAAATGTTGGAGCTAGGATTTCAACTCATTCATGCTCTTCTACTATTTTACTTACACTAATGAATTCCAAACATGTAGGCATCACCTTGGTGTCCCAGCTCCTTATCTGAACATCATCATTTATCAACTAGTTATAGCTATATACTACAGTTTCTCTAAAAGCATGGCATCAGCAGCTTTAGGGATATAAGAGATAATAGAGGGCGACTGATCCAAACTCTTTGTTTGATAGATGAAGAAACTAAGGCTCAGAGGCACAAAGTGATTTGCCCAAACTTACACAGGTATTGAGGGGCAAAGGTGGGACCTGGTTCTTTTAACTGCAAAGCTGGCTCTCTTCCCACTATACCATACTTCCTCAGGTTAAAAGCTGTAGACACAGATTTGAAGAGAGCATAGGTATGAAAGCATCATGGCCAGGGAGGATCTCTCAGAACTGTTCAATATTTCAGATGTTATGTTATTTCTTCAAACTGGTAATAGAGAAACCCTTGGGTAAAGTGAATCAGCATTCATTTTCTCTGTTTACACTTTTCTTATACTGTGGAACAAATAGAAATTTAGGGCATCAAACTGTGTTCATCGATCCTTGGTTTAGCACAAATTCAATTTGGTAAGAAAGAATAATTATTCCAATTGAGCTTTGCATTTGCAGAGCAACCTTACTTTCAAAGAACTCATCTCATTAATCCTCCCAGAAACCCAACAAGGCAGGCAGGAGGTTTTATCTCCGTTAACAAAAACATATTCCATAGAATTGCTGATTTAAAACCTCATAATGAGATCAACAAGTACATGACATAAACCACCAATGAAACCAAAGAGACAGCAATTAATTAAAAAAAAAAAACTTCAGGTTACTGTGACTCAAACTAGAGGAGCTGGAAAGGAATAAAATGTGGAACGCAGAGCTGCAGCAGGGGAAAAGAATAAGGTAGCAAATGGAAAATGGGAGCATAAAGGGCTTAGCCCCATAAGTCTGGGTCTTTTATCAATCACTGGAACTCAGGAATCACACAGCTTTTGACAAGCCTCCAACAGGATATTTTTGAGCTGAGCTTAGCCCTAGATAGGGCTAATCAGATAGCAAACGTACAAGATTATGATCATAAGAACATAAAATAACACCCCTTCTGGACCACTTCCTCAATTTGCCCTGGTTCTCGTGGATTAGGTTCTCAGAAGAGGAGCTGCTAAGTAGGAATGTACAAATAACCATGTGAGTAACAATTTTTAATACTATTACTCAGGAGCCCCCAGCAGTGTGCTTCCCATTAACAGTTATCCAGTGGACTTAATTATTTTTTAGCTGGAGCATTTACTAAGATGGTATAGTAAGAAACTCTGGCACAAATAGTGCCTCCCAAAATCCCAGTATGCATTCTGCCACACATACAGACAGCATCCATGGGAAGAAAGGGTTCATACTGAAAATACAATGACAGTAAGGCACACATGTGGCAAAGATAATACACAAATCTACTGGTACCACAAGGCCTATAAGTCCTATCCCTCTGTTGAGTTCTCATTCAGCTTCCCTTTGGTGTTGCATTTTTTTCTTTGCATCAGTCAGTGAGGCTTCCAAGGGTTACTCTTTTCTGGAGCTGTCTCCTCAATACAGAGAAGTGAACCTTCTTCTTGCCTCTGGCAGTTCTCTTGATATCTGTGTCAATCTGCTGTGTATATCTCTGTTCTTCACTGTATATGGTTTTCTACTGATCCAGTAACTCTGATACCATAGCAAAGGGAGCCTCCTCTCATGCTTTTCTCGCTACAAGGGTAGGTGTCTCCTTGTACAATGGCCTCCAACTCTCAAACTTGAGTTCTTCTTAGGAGGCTAAGCCTCAAAGTCAAAAAGTAAACATTTATATGTGACTTTTCTAGGGGAAAAAAATCATCAGAAAAAAGACTCACAAGAGATGGTGATTGTGTCTTCAAGTTGAGAGGAACCTGAAAAAGTTAATGCCAAGTCAAAAAGACATTAGAGCAATGAGGAGAAATCATTTCAACCAGTAAAATGTACACAAAGCAAATCTCTGCATGAAGAGAGAGGTCATGAATATAATATATATGGTGGAAACTTCAGTGTAGGGCCTATTTTTTTATGGACAGTCCTGCTCACCCTGGAACTTCATTCACTCTGACCCTGTGCTCTTCTCACCATAGAATGTCACCTTACCCCTGCAGCCTTCCTTCTCTGGTAAATCACTACACTTCTGCAGCCCCTTCCTCTAACTGATCAGTTCCTCCTGGATTCCCTTTTAAGTAAATGCCCAACAGCCATTTTCACTCCTATGTTCTTCTCAAGGCCTCAGCCCTAGGTCTTCAGATTTATTTCTCCACTTTCTCTTCCACACTACAATCCCCTTCACCACTTTTCAGCTTCTTTTTATGTATTGTCCTCCCCTGTGAGCATGTAAATCCTTGAACTCAGGGATTCTTTCTTTTTGTTTGTATTTGTATTCCCAGCACTTAGAATAGTGGCTGACACATAATAAGTGCTTAATAAATGCTTTTTGGCTTGACTTGACTAAACTGCATGTGTGTGTGTGTGTGTGTGTATGTGTGTGTGTGTGTGTGTGTGTGTGTGTGTGTCTACCCAAGAGTGCTGACTAATTCTCTCAGCCAATCACAAGATGTTTACTGGGTGGTATAGCTGTCTTCATCCAATAGTTACGACCTCACAATCCTCTCAAGTTGATAAGGAAATGGTTCACACATTGCTCTGGGATTGAATAAAAATTGTTTAACATCTCCTTTACTCTGTAATTATATGCTGGGCCTTGTGTGATTACATCAATTGAGATAGGGAAAGGAGCTCCTCCTCTTACAACAGAATCATAGCTCTAAACCTAGAAGGGACTTTCGTGGTTATCTAATCCAACCTTCTTAACTTATAGAAGATGAAATTTGGGACCAGAGGGGTTAAGTGATCTCTTTTAGTAGACCCTCTCAATTATCACAAATGATAATTACCCCTTCCTTTGACAAAATTCATCAGGAAGAACAAAAAGTGAAGGATATCAAAGGAATCAATGGAAAAAGTATAAAGGAAGGCAGCCTAGCAGTACCAGCTTTCAAACAATTTTTTTTTTTTACAAAATGATAATCATCAAACTGTTCTGATACTGGCTAAGAAATGAAGTGATGGAGCAGTGGAATAGTTTAGGTACACAATACACAGTAGTAAATGACCATAGAAAATCTAGAGATTGTTAAACCCAAAGATTCAAAACTTTAGGGCCAGAACTCACCATGTGACAAAAATTGCTAGGAAAGCTAGAAAGCAGCTTGGCATAAACTAGGCATTGATCAACACCTGACACCATTCACCAAGATGAGGTCAAAATGGATCAAAGGTTTAGACACAAAAGGTGATATCATAAGTAAATTAGGGGAGCATGGAAAATTTTACTTATTAGATCTATGTATAAGGGAAAAGCTTATGACCAAACAAAAGATAAATAGGATCAAAGTAAGTAAAACTGATAATTCTGATTACATAAAATTTTAAAAGTTTTTGCATAAACAAAACTAATGCAAACAAAATTAGAAGGAAAGTGGGAACTGGGAAATTTTTCAGCAAATTTCTCTGATAAAGGCCTCATTTCACAAATATGTAGGAAACTGAGGCAGATTTATTTAAAAAAAGATGAGAGCCATTCCTTAGTTGCTAAATAGTCAAAAGATATGAACAGGAAGTTTTCAACAGTAACTTAAAAAATATCAATAGTTACATAAAAAAATATCTAAATCAGTATTGATTGGATTACAAATTAAAAATGTGCAAAAAAATGCAAATTAAAATGACTCTGAGATATACATCATACCTATCAGAATGGCTAATATGACAGAAAACTAAAATGATAAATACTAAAGGGGATGTGGAAAAATTGGGACACTAATGCACTATTGGTAGAATTGTGAACTGGTCCAACCATTCTGGAGAACAATTTGAAACTGTGCCCAAAAGGTTATATGTATTTTTGCCCAGCAATACCAGTACTAGGTCTGCATCCCAAAATGATAAAAAAAGAAAAGAAAAGAAAAGAAAGAAAAGAAAAGAAAAAGAAAGAGAGAGAGAGAGAGAGAGAGAGAGAGAGAGAGAGAGAGAGAAGGACCTATATGTACTAAAATATTTATAGCAGCTTTAGACTCAGGAAGACTTGGGTTCAAGTCCTCTTCTGATATATATTAGCAAATCACTAACTTCTTAGTTATTTTCATGTTCTGATGACTTTTGCTTCCTTTATGCAACCTCACAGGAAGGCAAAAGTCATCAGAATATGAAAATATTCAATAAACAACTGACCACTTAAAAATTAGTCTCCACTCAAATATCCCTCCCATCTTAACACAGTAGTCAACACTTGCTCATTACTGGCTGTAGTCCATGTTTTTTCTTTTCAATCTATCCCCAGGTGTTGGTAGGCACTTCCAAGGAGAATGATCTGAACCAAAGGATTAAGGGAGGCCACTGGGAAACTCAATGAAACCCTTCAATATTTTTGCAACAATTAACCTCTTCATGATCATTCTTCAAAAGTCAAACACGAAGTGAAGGATTTCCAACACTACAATAAGACATTTTGGGGGGGAAATTGCACCAATAAAAAATAAACATGATTCATTATTCATTTATCCTCATAATTAGTGCATAGTAGCAATTAAAACCTACATATTGAACATACAAATTTGTTGCATTTTAAGATAAATTCCTTGTCAGTTTTTTTTCATTATTAATTATTAAATGTTGGTCCTTTCTTTGTGGATTCACTTTAAGTGGTCTTTTTCCAGGATCAATTTTTTTTTTATCACAAGGGCATGTTCATGTAAGGTCAGCCACCAGATGGCATTGCTAAACGTTAGCCTAATACTATTCAAGATGAAGGCTCAGTAGCTGTGCTAATCCCACACTCATATATGTTGGTTTATTTAATTTTCACAACACCCAGGTGAAGTAAGTACTATAAACTGCATTTTATACATGAGGGAACTGAGCCTAAGAAAAATTAAATAATGTGCCCATGGCCACAGACCTAGAAAGCACCATAGGTGAGGTTCCAACAAAGGTCTTCCTGACTTCTATTATACATGCTGCAGACTACATGGAAAGAAATAAGAAAAAGATGTAGAGTTCAGGAAATAGAACATAAACTTATTTCAAAGTTCTGATGTAATCATAAGGTAATTACAATCACAAGTTTCCCACTCCCTCTTCTCTATCTTTGTCTCTGTCTCAGTCTCTGTCTCTCTACCTTTTTCTCCCTCCCTCCGACCCCCATAAAGAGCAGAGTTACAAATCAAAAATTCCTTCAAAAGGTTTCAAAGAAGCAAGGAGGGGAATTTTTATTTTGATCTTGATTCTAAAAAACCAGGAAGAACAGAAATTAGGGGAACCTTGGGGAATTCCATACCAAAATTTACAAAAAAAGAAAAAAATAGGAAAGACAAGTAAAGTCTGACATGTATCTTGGATTTAGGAAGAAATGATTTCAGAAGACTTAACCTGGGATCCACAGATAGATTTCAAGGAGTCCCTCAACTTGGAGGAGGGGGAAAATTACACTTCTATTTTTACTAACCTTTGATTTGTCTTGTAACTCTATGTATTTTATTTTAAGCATTTATACACATGATTCTGAGAACATGTCCATAGGCTTCACCGGTCTGCCAAAAGAGTTTGTGACACACAAAAAGTTAAGAATTCTTGGTCCTTGGCTCAGATTCTTAAAATCTAGACACTGCTCAGATTCTTATAATCTAGCCAACAGCTCACTAATGTTCAGATTCCTTAAGAGTCTGGCCAATATGGCAGATGTTCTAATAAACCTGGCTGAAAAAAAAAAAGAATTCTTGGTTCTTAAAAGTGGTAGGTTGGATTCCATAGTCTAAAAGGGGAAGAGATGGAAAGGTTTCAAGAATGAAATTCTGAAAACACAATCAGAAACAATTCTGGTGAGGAGAAAATTACAGAGATATTTAAAAAAGAGTGATGCGGATGCAAGGAATCTATTAATTAAGTAATTTTTTAAAGGCACATATGGCAGGTGAGAATATGAACATAAAAGTAACAATCCTATAAGAATAGCATTAGGAGATTAAAGCTCAAAATTTTCTGAGACACTCGTATTTTGTAACTCAGCTACATTATATAAACAAGCCCAAAAAGGCTATCCATTTTCTCCACTGAAATAGAAAGTGGGTAGGGCAGCTATTGCCATCATGAAAACACCTCAAGATGTTAATAACTTGTTGGAATCCATGATATCACAGTCCTTGGGAAAACAATAGAGGTTTGGATGCTGAGTATAACTTTTTCCTTGCATCTGATAAGCAGTACATAGTGTCCTTAGGCTTTTGTGGCAGGTGGAACCCACACCCAGTAGATTCAGACAAAAATGCCGGTTAGTGGTGGGTGACACTCGTCTTTCATTTGTCTTGCTCTGCTATTTTCCTAATCAACCTGTTCACTCATTAAAAATGAAGGTCTGAAACTCGACCAGCTGAAGTGCAAGGTAAGCCCAAGACTAGTTGAACACTTGGTGTCCATGTAATCAGAAGTTTACATTTTAAAGACAGAGGAGAGAGACCATTCAGAAAGCATTTAGCAAATGTTTTCATATACAAGAGTTCACATTACATTTTTTTTTTAGGCAGTTGGGGTTGAGTGACTTGCCCAGGGTCACACAGCTAGTAAGTGTCAAGTGTTTGGTCTGAGGCCGGATTTGAACTCAGGTATTCCTGACTTCAGGGCTGGTGCTTTATCCACTGCGCCACCTAGCTGCCCCCACATTACATTTTAATAATTGAGGCAAATGCTTTGCATCTAAGGCTTTTTCAATTTGTGCACTGAAAATAGGCAGAGATAGGGAATACTGAACAACTTCTGTAAAATGATCAGGCCCAAAGAGAAGACACTTTTGGATCAATACATTGACAGAGAATTT